AAGCGCGACTGTCGTAAAAGGGGCCGTAAAGCGCGACTGTCGCAAATACTGCCGTAAAGCGCGACTGTCGTAAAAGGGGCCGTAAAGCGCGACTGTCGCAAATACTGCCGTAAATGACGACTGTCGTAAAGAGGGGCCGTAAAGCGCGACTGTCGCAAATACTGCCGTAAAGCGCGACTGTCGTAAAAGGGGCCGTAAAGCGCGACTGTCGTAAAAGGGGGCCGTAAAGCGCGACTGTCGCAAATACTGCCGTAAATGACGACTGTCGTAAAAGGGGCCGTAAAGCGCGACTGTCGTAAAAGGGGGCCGTAAAGCGCGACTGTCGCAAATACTGCCGTAAAGCGCGACTGTCGCAAATACTGCCGTAAAGCGCGACTGTCGTAAAAGGGGCCGTAAAGCGCGACTGTCGCAAATACTGCCGTAAATGACGACTGTCGTAAAAGGGGCCGTAAAGCGCGACTGTCGTAAAAGGGGCCGTAAAGCGCGACTGTCGCAAATACTGCCGTAAAGCGCGACTGTCGTAAAAGGGGCCGTAAAGCGCGACTGTCGCAAATACTGCCGTAAATGACGACTGTCGTAAGAGGGGCCGTAAAGCGCGACTGTCGTAAAAGGGGCCGTAAAGCGCGACTGTCGCAAATACTGCCGTAAATGACGACTGTCGTAAAAGGGGCCGTAAAGCGCGACTGTCGTAAAAGGGGCCGTAAAGCGCGACTGTCGCAAATACTGCCGTAAATGACGACTGTCGTAAAAGGGGCCGTAAAGCGCGACTGTCGTAAAAGGGGCCGTAAAGCGCGATTGTCGCAAATACTGCCGTAAATGGCGACTGTCGTAAAAGGGCCGTAAAGCGCGATTGTCGCAAATACTGCCGTAAATGGCGACTGTCGTAAAAGGGGCCGTAAATGGCGACTGTCGTAAAAGGGGCCCGTAAAGCGCGACTGTCGCAAATACTGCCGTAAATGACGACTGTCGTAAAAGGGGCCGTAAATGGCGACTGTCGTAAAAGGGGCCGTAAAGCGCGACTGTCGTAAAAACGGCTGTAAAGCACGACTGTTGCTAAAGGGGCTACAGCCTGGGGAATTCTGGGGGGTCCCAGAGCAGTTTGGCGGGTCCCGGGGCGATTTGGGAGGGTCTGAAAGGGGTCTGGGGGGATTTTGGGGGTTCAGGGGCGGTTTTGGGTGGTCGTGGAGAGGTCCCAAAGCAGTTTTGGGGGGTCCCAGAGTGGTTTTTGAGGGTTCCAGAGGGGTTTTGGGGAGTCGTGGAGGGGGTGGATGGGGAGTTTGAAGGGTCTTACAGGGGTCTGGGGGGTCCTGGGGCATTTTGGGGGGTCCCGGAGGTGTTTTGGGTGGTCCCAGAGGGGTTATGGGGGGGTCCCAAAGCAGTTTTGGGGGGTCCCAGAGTGGTTTCAGAGGGTCCCAGAGAGATTTTTGGGGGTCCCAAAGGGGTCTGGGGGGTCCTGGGGGCATTTTGGGGGGTCCTGGAGGGGTTATGGGGGTCCTGGGGGGAATTTGGGGGATCCCAAAGGGGTCTGGGGGATTTGGGAGGGTCCCAAAGGGGTCTGGGGGGGGGGCCAGCTGGGCCAGAATGGTCCGGAGGGTGCGGTCCGAGGGGGGGTCTGGGGGCCCCGGGGGATTTTGGGGTGTCCTGGCTGAATTTGTGGGGTCGCAAAGGGGTCCTGGGGGTCTTGGGGGGCATTTTGGGGGGTCCTAAAGGGGTTTTGGGGGTTCGTAGAGGGGATTTTGGGGAGTTTGGGGGGTCCTGGGGGGATTTTAGGGGGTGCCAAAGGGGTTTTGGGTGGTCCCAGAGGGGTTATGGGGGTGTCCCAAAGCAGTTTTGGGGGGTCCCGGAGTGGATTTAGAGGGTTCCAGACGGGTTTTGGGGGGTCCTGGAGGGGGGGGGTTAGGGAGTCTGGGGGGGTCTGGGCGGATTTTGGGGGTCCCAAAGCAGTTTTGGGGGGTCCCAGAGTGGATTTAGAGGGTTCCAGACGGGTTTTGGGGGGTCCTGGGGGGATTTTGGGGGGTGCTGGGGAGATTTGGGTGGTTCCGGGTGGGTTTTGGGGGGTCCAGCTGGGGCAGGAGGGTCCGGAAGAGGCGCTCCGAGGGGTCCCAGAGGGGCTTTGGGGGGTCCTGGGGGATTTGGGGGGGTCCCAGAGGCGTTCTGGGGGGTCCCAAAGGGGGTCTGGGGATACTGGGGGGATTTTGGGGGGTCCCTGGTGGGTTTTGGGGGATCCCGGAGGGGTTATGGGGGGGGTCCCAGAGCAGTTTTGGGGGGTCCTGGTGGGATTTTGGGGGGGCCTGAGGGGTCCCGGGAGGCTTTTGAGGGGGGTCCTGGGGGGATTTTGGGTGGTCCCAGAATGGTTTTGGGGGGTCCTGGAGCATTTTTGGGGGTCTCAGAGGGTCCTGGGGGGGGGGGTCCCAGGCAGGATCTGGGGATGTTGGAGTGGTTTTTGGGGGTCCCAAAGTGGATTTGGGGGGGTCCGGAAGGGATTTTGGGGGTCTCCTCGGGTTTGGGGGGGTTTTGGGGGGGTCCTGGAATGGTTTTTGGGGGTCCTGGAGTGGTTTTGGGGGTCCCGAATGGGTTGGGGGGTGTCCTGTTAACCCCCCCCGTTACCTCCCCCAGGTATCCCCCCCTTACCCCCAATTGCTCGTCCCGTTATCTCCCCGTTAATCCCTCCAGGCCCCCCCCCCCTTATCTCCCTGTTATCCCCCCCATTAACCCCCCCGGTACCCCCCGGTAACCCCCCCATGATCTCCCCTATTAACCCCCGCGTTATCCCCGGTAAACCCCCCTTATCCCCCCCATTAATCCCCCCGTTATCCCCGTTGTTATCCCCATTACCCCCCGTTAACCCCCTCATTAACCCCCGTTATCCCCCCCGTTATCCCCCCTATTAACCCCTTCGTTATCCCCCCCCATTATCCTCCCGTTGCTCCCCCGTTATCCTCCTCATTGACCCCCATTATCCCCCCCGTTATCCCCCCCATTAACCCCCCCCGTTATCCCCCGATTGCCCCATTAACCCCCTCGTTACCCTCCCCGTTAACCACCCTGTTAACCCCATTATCCCCTCCATTAACCCCCCGTTATCTCCCCTCATTAACCCCCCTTAACCCCCCCGTTATCCCCCTCATTAACCCCCCCGTTTTCCCCCCATTATCCCCAGTAACCCCCCCTTAACTCCCCCATTAACCCCCCCGTTGTCCCTCCGTTACCTCCCCTCATTAAGCCCCCGTTTCCCTCCCCGTTAATCCCCCCCGGTTATCTCCCCCATTAACCTCCCCGTTGCTCCCCCGTAACCCCCCCATTAACCCCCGGTAACCCCCCCCGATATCCCCCCCGTTATCCCCGGTAACCCTTCCCCCCGCGGGAGGAGCCCCCAGACCCAGCCCGGGCCCGGTTCCGGTACCGGCGGCGCCACCGGGGCCGGGCCGGGACTCGAACCAGCGGCCCGAGGGCGGCGCGGCCCGGCCGGGAGATGGCGCATGGCGGGGGCGGGGCCTCGGAGCGAGGAGGGGGGCGGGGCCTCAAGGGGCCAATGGGGGAGGAGGGGCGGGGATTAAAGGGGGAGGGGCGGCGCGGGGCGACGAAGAGAGCGCGGATTGGGAGGGGGGCGGGGATTGGAGGGGAGGGGGGCGGGGATTGGAGAGGAAGGGGGCGGGGATTGGAGGGGAGGGGGGCGGGGATTGGGGAGGCCGCGCCCGTGTGGGGCGGAAAGGGACGGACAGACGGACACGGGAGGGGACACGGGGAGACGTGGGGAAACACGGGAGGGACAGAGGGACATGGGAGGGGGACAGAGGGACATGGGGGGACAGACGGACATGGAGGGGGACAGAGGGACATGGAAGGGACACGGGAGGGACAGAGGGACATGGAAGGGACACAGGGGGGAACAGACGGACACGGGGAGGGACAGAGGGACAAGGGAGGGACAGAGGGACACGGGGAGGGACAGAGGGACATGGGGAGGGACAGAGGGACATTGCCATGGGCTGTCCCCATTACCCTGTGTGCGGACACCAACCTGGAGGACATTGTCACTGTCCTTGGTGCCACCAGCCCAGCTGGGGACATTGCCATTGGGCTGGGGGACATCATCACAGGCTGTCCCCATTGTCCTCCATGGGGACACCACCCCGGAGGGAATTGTCACCCTCTGAGGGACAGTGTCACCCTCTGTAGTGCCACCAGCCCAGCTGGGGACAGTGCCCTTGGGTTGATCCCACTGTCCTCCAAGGGGACACCAGCCTGGAGGGCATTGTCACCTTCTGAGGGACATTGCCTCTGGTTGTCCCCATTGTCCTCCGTGGGGACATGAACCTTGAGGGGATTGTCACCTCTCTGGTGACATCACCATTGGGTTGATCCCATTGTCCTCCATGGGGACACCGCTCTGGAGGGCATTGTCACCCTCTGTAGTGACACCAGCCCAGCTGCGGACATTTCCATTGGGTTGTCCCTATTGTCCTCTATGGGAACATGACCTTGAACGGGAATCGTCACCTCCCTGGTGACATCGCCATTGGGTTAATCCCACTAAACCCCTGTGGGGACCCCAGCCTGGAGGGGATTGTCACCCTCTGAGGGACATTGTCACCCTCCCCAGTGCCACCAGCCCAGCTGGGGACATCACCACTGGGTTAATCCCATGGGGACACCACCCTGGAGGACACTGTCACCCTCCTTGGTGCCACCACGCCATCTGGTGACACCACCACTGGCTGAACCCATTGTCCTCCATGGAAACCCCACCCTGCAGGGCATTGTCACCTCCCTGGTGACATCGCCATTGGGTTGACCCCATTATCCTCCATGGGGACGCCACCCCGGAGGCCGCTGTCACCCTCCTTGACGCCACCACCACCCCAATCCCACACTTCCACGCTCGACCCTTTCCGTTCCTCTCCGTTTTTTTCCCGTCCGCGTCCGCGGCAGCGCTTCCGTCGCCCCGCGAGCCGTCCGTGCGTCCGTCCGCCGCGTCCGTCCGTCCGTCCGTCCCACCCTCACCTGCCCTCGTCCCTGCGGGCGCCGCCCCCGGCCGGGTGCACCCAGTTGTTGTCGTGCAGGCCGGTGCGGCAGCCCGGCGCCTCGCGGTCGGTGCGGCGGCAGCACATCCAGTATGAGCGGCCGTAGGGCAGGTCGTGGTGGTAGGGCTTGGGGTGCCAGCGGCACAGCGACACGTCCCCGCGCTCGTAGCGCTTCTTGCACTGCTTGCACGGGTCGTCGCGGTAGAGCGGGTCCCGGTTCCAGCGCGAGTCGGCCGCCCGCACGCCGAACGTCTCGATGATGGACTTGAAGTAGTGGCACGAGCACTTGAGGGCGGCCAGCGCCTGCGTGGGCAGGTAGCTGAAGATCTTCACCATCACGTGCTCGGGCAGCAGCAGCATGTACTGCCGCGGCTCCAGCAGGCGCTGGATCTTGAAGCGGATCTCCAGGAAGTCGTGGGACACGTGCCGGTACAGCCGGCACAGCGCCGGGTCGCCGCCGCCGTCCTTGCCCGGCGACGCCGCCGCCGTCGTCGCCGCGGCCGTCGCCGGCTCCTCGGGCAGCAGGAAGAGCTGTCCCGGCGGCGGCGGCTCCTCGGGCAGCCTGACGGTCTCCTCGGTCACCTGCTTGGCGCTGTCCTTGCCGAAGAACACGCACTGGTCCACCACGCCCGTCACCACCACGTCCACGTGGAAGCCGGACGCGCAGTCCCGCGGCGCCGCCGGACCCTCGGTGACGCCGCCGCCACTGCCGCCGCTCTGTTCCGCCGCCGCGGCCGCCTCGTCGGCGCCGTCCTTGTCCCCCTTGGCGGCCAGCAGCAGCCGCGCCGGGCTCACCAGCCGGTACAGGTCGCAGGTGATCTGGTCCTTCTGCCGCTCCGCGCTGGCGGCCGCCGCGGCCTCGCGCCCCGCTCGAGATGCGGAAGGCGATCCTCACCTCGCCCGGCCCTGCCGCGCCGCCCGCGGCACCGGCATTGCCGCCCCCGTCCGTCCCGGCGCCGCCGCCTCCGGCGCCGCCCCGGCACACGCCGTTGGGCCTGACGGCGCCGCCGCGCTCCCGGCGGTGCTGGCTCTGGGATTTCTGGGACTCGAACTGCGCCACGGCGGCCGCCACGCGCCGGCACTCGGGGCCGCCCGGCGCCTCCAGCAGCACCAGCGGGGCCGGCGCGTCGCAGGCGGCGCGGGGCAGGCTCTGCAGGGCCAGCGCCGCGCGCCGCTCCACCAGCGCCACCATCTCCGCCACCGACAGCAGGTCCGCGCCGTCCCCCGCGGCGCCGCCGCCGTCGTCACCCTCGGGCGCGTCCCCGGCCGCCCAGGGCGGGCCCGTGGCGCCTTTGGGCTCGTGGCGGCAGCGCCGGCGCCGCTTGGCCTTGGAGCTGTCGCTGCCCCAGTTGCCCTTGACCTTCATGGTGCTGGCGCGGCCCGCGGTGCCGGCGGGGCCGGCGGCGGTGCCACCGCCGCACTGGTGCGCCACGAAGAACGCCACCTTCTCCTTGGTGTTGCCCGGTTTGATGACGTACCACGTGTCCAGCAGCACCCGCCCGTCCTCGGCGGCGGCGCCGGCGGCGGCGCCAGCGGGGCCGGGCTCGGGGGGCTCCGGGGGGGTGTTCTCGGAGGGGCGGCAGCCCGGGGGGCACCGGGGGGCGCCGGGGGTGGAACCGGCGATGGCGGCGGCGGGGGACGGGCATGGCTTGTTCTGCGAGAAGGTGCCGAAGGGCCGCGGGCACCAGAGCTGCAGCTGCGGGAAGGCGTTGGGGGGCTCCATCCGCGCCGCTGCCGGGGCCAGCACCGCCGCCGGGGCCGCCGGGGCCGCCCGGGCCTGCCGAGAGACCGGGGGTGACTGGGGGGGACACTTGGGGACATTGGGGGGGTGTTTGGGGACATTGGGAGGGCGTTTGGGGACATTGGGGTGATCCTCGGGGACACTGGGGGGTGTTTGGGGACATTGGGGGGCATCTGGGGACATTGTGGGGAGCCTTGGGGACACCCGGGCCTGCGGAGAGATGGTGGGTGACCAGGGCGACACTTGGGGACACTGGGGGAGTGTTTGTGGACTTTGGGGGGGCGTTTGGGGACATTGGGGGTACCTTTGCGGACACTGAGGGGGCATTTGGGGACACTGGGGGGGCATTTGGGGACAGTGAGGGGACCCTCAGGGACATTGGGGGGCATTTGGGGACATTGGAGAGGGTGTTTGGGGACACTGGGAGGAGCCTTAGGGGACACTTGGGGGAGCCTTTGGGGATATTGGGGAACATTTGGGGACATTGGGGGGACCTTTGGGGACACCCGGGCCTGTGGAGAGATGGCGGGTGACCAGGGGGGACCCTGGGGACATTGTGGAGGTGCTTGGGGATACCAGGAAGAGCCTTGGGGACACTTGGGGACACCGAGGGGACCTTTGGGGACACCAAGAGGGCATTTGGGAACACTGGAAGGACCCCTGGGGACACGGAGGGGACCCTCGGGGACATTGAGGGGAGCCTTGGGGACACCAGAGGGACCTTTGGGGACACCAGGAGGGCGCCTGGGGACACCGGGAGGACCCTCAGGGACAACGCGGGGCCGCCCCCCCCACCCCTTTCCCGCGCCGCAAGCCCCGCCCCCCCCCGCGCCGCAAGCCCCGCCCCTCCTCACGTCTCGCCCCTCCCGCGGAGGCCACGCCCCGCCCCGCCGGTTTAACGCCCCGCCCCACTCCCCCTCCCCGGCCAATCAGCGCGCGGCGTTCGGGCCGTGCCCATATATGGACGGCGGCGCGCGCGAGGCGGAGGGGGCGTGGCCTCCAGGAGGGGGCGTGGCCAGGCGGGCCCCCGGTCCCGTGTGGGCCCCGTGGGGGGGTGGGGGGGGAGAACCGGGGGTGGAGAGGGGGAACCGGCGCCGGTGCCCGGCGGGCAGGACGCGGTAACGGGGCCTGGGGGCACCACCGGACACACCCGCCCGCCGGGCGAGCGGCGCCGGTGCTCGGTGTCGCACCGGGATCCCCCCGCCGTGCCCTCCCTTAGGCACCGTGCGCGCTCCCAGCCACCCGTCCGCAGGCCCGGGCCGCTCCCCGGGGCATCCCGCGACCCGTCCCGTTCCGACCAGGCCCCACCCGGTACCGCCGCCCCTCCCCCGCTCACCGGGCCGTGCCGGGCGCGGCCGCTCCGCCTCTCCGGCCGCTTCCGGGGTGCCGCGCCGCGCATGCGCCCGGGGCCCGCCGCGCTGCGCGCCTGCGGGTGCGCGGGGCATCACGGGAAACGTAGTTCGCATCCGCCATGTTCCGAGCGGCCGCGCGGGGCATCACGGGAGCTGTAGTTCTCTTCGCCGCGCGGGGCGTGTTGGGAGTTGTAGTTCTCGCCCCCCACCCCCCCAAAAAATGACTGGGCGGCACCACCGGGTGTCACGTGGTTGGTTTATTTTGGGGTACAAACCCCGGAGACCCCTCCCCCCAAGGTGTCACCCCCCCTCCCCAAACACCCAAAATCCCCGGATTTCGCCCCAAATTCACACCCAGCACCCAAAACTCTTAGGGCTCTTTCCCCCCAGCACCCACAGGTGCCCCCTCAGGACCCCCAGACCCATAATTGCCCCCCAGCACCCACAGTTGCCCCCCCAGGATCCACAATTGCCCCCCCAGGTGCCCCCAGGTGCCCCCAGGTGTCCCCACCCCCTCAGCAGCCGCTCTCGGCCGCCGGGTGCTGCCCCCGTCGCGATTGAGCCCTCGGGGGGGCCCTGGGGGGGCCGGGGACCCCCATCCGGCACCGCTGCCACCCCCGCCGCACCTCGGCCTGCACCTGCGGGGCGGCAGGTCGCGATATGGGGCCCCGCCCGCCGCGATAGGCCCCGCCCATCGCGACAGACACCGCCCATGCCACGATAGACCACGCCCATGCCGCTATAGGCCCGGCCTGTCGCGATGGACCCCGCCCATGTCGCGACATGACGCACCTCCTTGTTGGTGAAGCAGTAGAGGACGCTGACCACCAGGCCCTGCTTGGGGAGGGGGGACATGGGGACACTTTGGGGGGGTCTGGCGCTTCCAATTAACCCCAATTAACCTTAAATAATCTGAGTAAGTCCTAATTAATCCAAATTAAACCAAATTAACCCAAATTAACCCAAATTAACCCATATTAACACCAATTAATCCAAATTCACCGAAATCAACCCAAACTGACCCAAATTAAGGCAAATTAACGCAAATTAACCCCAAATTAACCATGCAGGTGTGTCCCAGGTGTGTCCCTCACCTGAGCCGAGGTGAGCAGCAGGTGCAGGCACAGCCGGGCCAGCCTGAGGCTCCCCAATTAACCAATATAACACCAAATTAACCCCAATTAACCCCATTAACCCCCCAATTAACCCCTCAGGTGTGTCCAGGTGTGTCCCTCACCTGAGCCAGGTGAGCAGCAGGTGCAGGCACAGCCGGGCCAGCCTGAGGCTCCCCAATTAACCCCAATTAATCCCATTAACCCCATTAACACCTCATTAACCCCCCAATTAACCCCTCAGGTGTGTCCAGGTGTGTCCCTCACCTGAGCCGAGGTGAGCAGCAGGTGCAGGCACAGCCGGGCCAGCCTGAGGCTCCCCAATTAACCCCAATTAATCCCATTAACCCCATTAACACCTCATTAACCCCCCAATTAACCCCTCAGGTGTGTCCAGGTGTGTCCCTCACCTGAGCCGAGGTGAGCAGCAGGTGCAAGCACAGCCGGGCCAGCCTGAGGCTCCCCAATTAACCCCAATTAATCCCATTAACCCCATTAACACCTCATTAACCCCCCAATTAACCCCTCAGGTGTGTCCAGGTGTGTCCCTCACCTGAGCCGAGGTGAGCAGCAGGTGCAAGCACAGCCGGGCCAGCCTGAGGCCGCCGCCCCCCTCGCCCTCCCCGGCCAGGGCGAAAATCACCTCGTGCACCCCCAGGAGGGGGATCAGCGTCAGCGTGGAGCGCGCCAACCTGGCACAGGTGGGACAGGTGGGACAGGTGGGACAGGTGAGACACCTGGGGACAGCCCCGGGCACAGGGACACACCTGGGGACACGCCCAAGGAGATTTGGGGACCAGGTGTTCCCGCTCTCGCCAGGTGTCCCACAATGTCCTCACCTGTCCAGGTGTCCCCTCCAATGTCCACACCTGTGCATGTGTCCCCACCTGAGCCCCGTGTCCCCCATGATGTCCTCACCTGTCCAGGTGTGTCCCCCCCAAAATCCCCACCTGTGCAGGTGTCCCCCCCAATGTCCCCACCCCCCCCCGATGTCCCCACCTGTGCAGGTGTGTGTCCCGCCCCCCCCCGTGTCCCCACCTGTGCAGGTGTGTGTCCCACCCCCCCCCGTGTCCCCACCTGTGCAGGTGCGTCCCCACCTGAGCCGCGTGTCCCCGCGCGCCACCTGCTGCGCGCGCACCTTGGCCACCAGGATGCGCACGATCCTCACGAACACCACGAAGTTCACCTGGCGCAGGTGCGACACACACGGGTGTGACCCCGGCACCGACGCAGGTGCGGCACAGGTGTGCACAGGTGCGGCACACCTGGTAGACGTCACGCACCGCCACGGCCGCCAGGATGGGGCAGCGGATCAGCCACCACACGGGCGCCTTCTCATTGCGCTCCCAGCACCTGCGCGGGGGGCGGGGCCTCGCTCAGCCACGCCCCCCGCTCACCTGAGGGACAGGTGGGGGGGGGATGGGACAGGTGAGGGCGGGGATGGAACTCACCCCTCGTTCTCGTACAGGTAACGCAGGATGACCCAGGGCACCACGAAGAGCACGGGGACACCTGGGGGGGGGCACACCTGGTGAGGGGGGCGGGGACACACCTGGGGAGGGGCGGGGACACACCTGGGGAGGGGCGGGGACACACCTGGGGGGGGCACACCTGGTGAGGGGCGGGGACACACCTGGGGAGGGGCGGGGGGACACAAAGGTTCAGCAGGTGACACAGGTGACACAGAACACACAGGTGATGCACAGGTGACACAGGTAACACGATAACGCGGTAACGGTGACACACACAGGTGACAGGTGACATACAGGTGACACACAGGTGACAGTGACACAGGTGACAGGTGTCTCACCCCATCCGAGGATGAGGAAGGCAGGCAGGCGGCTCCGGGCGGGCGTGGCCTCACACAGGTGACACAGGTAACACGATAACTCGGTAACACAGTGACACAGCGACACACAGGTGACACAGGTGACACAGGTAACACGATAACTCGGTAACGCAGTGACACACAGAGGTGACAGTGACACAGGTGACACGGACAGGTGACAGGTGTGTCCCTCACCCCAGCCGAGCAGCAGGAAGGCGGGCAGGCGGCTCCGGGCGGGCGTGGCCAGCAGCAGCCGCAGCAGGTGCAGCCCCTCGGCCGTGGCCCAGGCGTAGTTGGCTCCCACGCAGTACTGCGCCAGGCTCTGCGCCACGCGGCACGCGGGGCCCGCCTGCGGGACACCGGTGCCACCAATGTCCCCCCCCGGCCACCTCTGTCCCCTCCTGGACACCTCTGTGTCCCCTCCCTGCCACCTCTGTCCCCTCTGTCCCCTCCCAACTCCGCTGTGCCCCCTTCTGTCCCCTCTGTGGCCATTGCTGTCCCCTCCCTGACACCGACACCGGCAGGAGGGGACAGCCACCCCCCACGGGTGTCCTCTCCCTCCTTTTAGTGTCCCCAGGGCTGTCCCCTTGTCCTGTGACTGTCCCCTCCCTCCCACGGTGTCCCTGCTGGTGTCCCTTGGCTGTGCCCAGGTTTCCCATTGCTGTCCCCAGGTGTCCCCACCATGTCCCCTGG